CGCCTCTGAAATGGATACCCTGTTCTAAACATGGATAATAGAAAGACTGGATAGGAAACTTATGTCACGTGGGCTGATTTCTTAACGCCGATTGGTTGGTTCGTGCTCCAAGATGGCGTTGGATGGTTCCATCATAGTGGAGATTTGTGACGAAACGATGGCGAAAATGTGGCGCAAACCAGTCGAAATGTAGGGTTTCTTTGCCTGCATGTCGTTCTTTTTCGGATTTTTTAGTGGTACTTTAATTTTTGATGGGTGTTTTTTCCTTCGTTTGTTGTCTTACGGCGATGGCGATCCTTCAAAGCCACACTTGAACCTTCAAGGTAAGCACTTCTTGTTGTTGTTTTGTGTTATTTGTCCTTGTCTTTGAGAAAACTGCGTCCCAAAAGTTGACCTTACCAGAGCCATATTTAGTACACTTGGCGACTGTTTTGGGACGCCTTTGTTATGAAGGTTTCTTCTTGTTTCTATTCTTAACTACGATTGACAGATGTTTTAAGGATGGAATTGTGGCATAGGCATAGTTACAGACTGAATACTGTTATTTTTCAGCCATAAATTTCATTTGAAAATGGCTGAAACGCACTACGTTCGGAGCTGGTGCCTAGCAAGTGTACGCACACGGTGTGTAAAGTTCCAATCGACTGACAAGTTTGTGTTGAGAACTGTTTCGCTCAAGTAATATCCCAGATTAACCCTGCTCATTGTTCGTATTAAAAAAGCAGTATGTTAATTTCGCTCATCTTTTAATGTTGAAATAAAACTACTATATTACATATCCAGTGAATACAATCGCCTCACTGCTCTCCTCGCAGCCTGTATTCGAAGGCACTGAAGAGACTCGAATAAATTTTATACTTTTCCCTTACATAAACTATAAGTAAGTGTTGCATCAATGGGAAAACACCTACTGACATTTCTGTCCTCCGTTTAGGCTCCTAATTGTTGTTGTTATTTTTTAAACAGTGTTTTAGATTTCCTTTTGTTTTTCTTTCTTGTAGGATTTGCTGAACACACATAGTCAATAAAGACAGTAAAATTGTGGTCAAGTACTCTTCTGAGAGGGCACAAATCAATCAATCTTTCTGTATTTAACAGCAACGAAGTTGCTTTTGTCATGCATGAGAGCCAGAAGGTGGCATCTAAATCATTTATGATCAGAAACTTTATTTATCACTTCTGAAGTGTATTTGTTACTCTTTTGTGAGTGGGACAAATTAACTGTGTTTGAGGGTCAATGCTTGTATTAGCTACAGAGTCATGTGTTTAAGTTGGTTAGTGTTTTTCCCTGAAACGGTCTATACCTGAATCACATTATTTTTCAAACCAAAGATGGACTTGATTAGCACTATTATTGTATTCGGTTTTTTAGAGATCCAAAACAACAATGTACCTGTAGATGCTAAACCTTACCAAGGTATATTTTAAATCAAATTAATAAAACATATACCTGTACTTGTTTGGGGTATGCATTTTGTTTTCAACAACATGATAATGTGACCAGACAGTCATATTTTTTCAATCCGCCATCCACTTACCTCAGACTAAACAAAAACCACATAACCCCTGATGTTACTGTTTGTTTTCTTTTTTTTTTCATATATATAAGAAGCTTCTATTTTTCTTTGGGAACAGTGTTTATGTTTATTTCAGAGGTGATGTACAGTATTCCCTATCCATATCATTAACACTACACAAAAACTTAAACTTTGTTTCATCCTAAAAAAGGTCAGTATTTCAGAGATAATACATTTCTAGGTTTTATTAAGCCTTATGGAAGACAAGTGTTTCCCAATGAAAAAGAAGTGAAGGTTCTACTATTAACCAGGAGAGTTTGCTTCCCAGTTTGTATTCTAGTAGTTTAAAGTTAACCGTTTTACATAACATTTTTAAAAGCGTTGCAGGTCGCTTTTTCAAAGACCTGACTGAAAAGTACCTTGGGTCACTGTACATTTATACCTGAAAATGACAACAACTTGTTTCACAATGAAAATTGATTTGAAAAAGTTTAGAAACGGCATTTCCACGGTGGTCCGCAAGCAAATTTCCTTTCCCTGCTGTGAGCTTTTCCCCGCTTTTTTATATTTCTCAAATACGACTTCTTGTCACTGGTTGAAGGGAAAATTAAACGCTTGTTTGAGCTGGGTACTTTTACCGCTAATAAAATCATTTTGTCAAGGGTTGTTAACTTATAAAATTTGACACTCGCTGAGCTTGTTGATAAAAGCAGAAAAGAAATTGTGAAAACCGTGACAAAAAGGGTTAAAATTATTTCCGGTTTTCATATGGTTTGAAGAAAATTAGGCTGTGCCTTTTTTATAGGTGTTTTTTAGCTGCATACATGTAAGTTTTCGCATACTTTTTATGTAGTTAGGCTTCCCGTTTGGTGCATATTAAAACTTATCGGGAGCTGGAGTCATTCGTCGCTTTCACAAGTTTCATAATCATTTACTCTGTCTTTTGCCTCTATCAGTTTTGTACCCTCTAACTGTCTTCTCCAAGAGGAAGTCCTCTTCATCCTTTACTTCAAAACATGGCCAATATGTATATTCGAAGACAGAGATAGTGAAATATGCGAGGAAACATAAGACGCGCAAGACGTCGAAAGAGGTTGAATGGCTCTCGATAATGTGACGTCACATTTTTCCACTATGTTGGAACCGATCGCGTCAGCCAGTTTCCTATCCAGTCTTTCTATTATCCATGTTCTAAATCAGGAGCTTCGAAATCACGACCCCGTTGGGCGGCACATACCCGTATAGGTAATGTATGGGAGTACCCCCCCCCCCCCCGCCCCGGGTGAAAAATGGGTTATTTCTTCGTTACGCATTCTATAGACCCCGCAAACCAAGAGACTGAGGGCTCTCAAGATCGGCTTACCCGGCACTTCGTGCCTCGGTCGCCCTTTTGTTGTCTGGCGACGTGCTGTGCGCCAGCGAGGATATGGCTTGCGGTTATTGATTTTCAACTACCTTTCAAAATGGCGAACAAAAAACTCGATCTGGGTCAGATAAGAAGCGAAGAAATCCTTTATAGTAGATTCATAAAGATCCCATGGGGCTAATTAATCGTGCTAAGCGACAGGTATAGACATTTTTCAAGGTGAGACTTAAAATAAGTAATTCATTTATTCACACGAAACTCCTCTGGACCCTGTGGTGCCAGACAAAAAAAAAATGAAAACGCTGGTACAGTCAACTCTCTACGGACACATCCTTCGGGAACAGCACTGGCAGTCCGTCTTAGAGAGGTGTCCTTCTTATAGAGAGTCGAGCTATCGTGACACCAGTAAATTGAACTTATTAGCAATCTATATGTTGCAGTTGATTTTTATTTCAGTTAATTTTGGTTTTTCCTTTGTTTTGAATTCATTAACATATATTACCATACCCCAAAACAATGGAAAAATAAAAATTAACTGAAATGAAAAAATAACTACATATACACGTCTGTTTATCTTGTACAAAACAGGGAAAATTGGAACATTGTAACAGAAAAGTGGAATTATTTTCTCATTGTGCAATCAAACGTTCATTACAAGCAAACGTTCACCACTTCGTGGTCTAAAAGCGTAACAGTATACACTCTCCGAACTAAAGCACAACTACAAATTATCAGACATTCCATTTTGAGGTATTTCTCACTACATAAAGGAACTTCAACCCAAATGACCGTTGACGGTTTCAAAAGTGTCCGTTGTCCCTGTTAGGTGTAAAATGACTGAAAAATGGCAGACCAACACCATGTGTCTGTCTTATAGAGGTGTCCGTTGAGAGAGTGTTGACTGTATATGGTGTCTAATGATTGTCTTGTCTGGTCTTCGGTCAAAACAAAAAATAAAACATTCCCCAAACTACTCAGTTAACTAGGTCACCCTCCTACCAGGGCCAACTTCTTTTCTTACTTAGGTTTTGTTTGTGTGTTTGTCTGTTTGTTACGGTACTTGTTTGCTTTCCTCCAATCCATTACTAGGTACGGTCGATATCCTTTCTCTGTTAACAGCTCCCATTGTGCAAAGAAAGTCATGTCCTTTAGCCTAGACTCATGGATTTGCAATTGGGCTAGACGTAGTAGTGAAATCTGTTCTTAACTTGCTTAAAGGGCAAGTGAAATATTCTGGAGAAATTCAAGTTGGAGAAATATTTAAGACAAGTGGTTTAAATTCGCAATAAGTTCATGTTGATCAAAAGCTGTTTTCAAGCTGATCTGATGAAGTGAAAGTGCTGCACTTATTATTACAGTACAATGACTTAACAAAGCAAGTAATTATAATAATTAACTATGGTACATAAATAACTAATAAATCTTAATAAATTAATTATCAATCCTGTTTGTCAAAAACATTTTTCTGTGGGCTCATTATATTCACTCTAGAGTTAGTACGTGCTACAATCAGTGACAAAATAAGTTGAGACACTGCTCTAAAGGGCCTCTGTGACATTTTTACCGAAGTACCCAAGGAGGGGAAAATAAAGCTTTCCCTCCCCCACCCCTTCCAAGCAATGTTGTGCCGCTTTTCAAGCTACCTGTAGAAAACAACAAACCTCCCAACTTTAAATGGAAGGGAGGGGGAGGGGTGTGGATTGTTGTGTTTTCTGAAGTTACCCCGAGGACAATGTCTCAACAATGTTGTTGCCAACTGTAGCAAAAACTAACTTTTTTGAACCCTGGCTCTTCAAAAGTTTATAGAGTTTATAGTTATTTAAATTGCTAGGAAATGTCTCTCATAGGCATTTGCATCTCATCTGCATTCTCCCCTTTGGAAAATCTTTTAATATATAATTTTCAACTTTTTTTTTTCATGTTTGTTGTTTCCCAAGCTGATAAACTAATGGCATAATATAATGACATCCAGTCACTTAAGTACACCTTTCAACATCTTTTCACATGATATCAACTGTGCATAGACTTTTGCTTACATGTAAGGTTGCAAAAGAAAAAATAGGCCTAAATTCGAAAGGCTCAGTTATGCCCCAGGCTGTAAATTATTCCCAGGGTCCTTAATCATCAGAATGTTGTGCACATGAACTGATGCCTTGAAAGTGTAAGTGTACTGCCCCCTTAATTTCTTTGCCACACTGGTAACAAAAGGGTGTCTTACAAGACCAACATTTTAAATGGTTATTGTTGCTATTCTCTTTGAGACATTTCTGGTGACAGCGGGGACATAGCTTTGTTCGTAATCTTCTTCTTGGGTTGGCCTTACGATACTCTTCAATCAAATTTTCACCCACTGTTGGCTGTCTGACGGGTATGCGGAAGCCTGGTTCAAGCCTCCCGCAGTTTCCAAAATGGTCATAGCCAGATATTGCCTTTCCTAAAGAAAAAAGAAGTGTTTATTGGAATAATTTAATAGAATAAACTGAAGGACAACCTTAAAAAAATAAGATAATTAAATTTATATTGTTATGGCACAAAATAATTTATGGATTGTGTTATTGTTTGCCTGTAAAACTAGAAATTGATCAGATTGTATCTCCTAAATAGGAACTGGGCATGAAAAATTTAATATTTCAGGAATAATGTCTTGATTGGTCAATTATATGTAGCAATTGACAGAATCCATTAGGAAATTGAGTAATTTTAATTTTCAGTGGGCAAAAACCTTGTACCAGAATAATTTCAACCATATTGCATCCTTTTTTACACTTTTCAAGGGCTATAAATGTAGTACGTTATATGAAATCACTCCAAAGGAAAGGTTCTCATGGGAGCCGGAGAAAATAAACTTCAAATGCTTCAAATTTCACAAAATGAAATCTTGCATATAACGATTTTACCTGTGTTTTCACAATTCCTGTGAAATTTGAAATTTTTTTTTCCCAGGCTCCCAAAAGAAATTGTCTTTGGCATTATTACAGATAACTGATTATATCTATAGCCCTTGAAAAGTGTAAAAAAGAATGCAATATGGCTTAAAATATTCTGGTACAAGGTTAATTTTGTCCATGCACTGAAAATTAACATTAATTTTTACTCAATTTCCTGGTGGATCCTGTCTTAATAACAATATACAGTACAGGAAATACAAGAAAGTTCACACATGTACAAGCCTCAAGTTGTGTTGTGATATACATGTAGGATATACAGCTGTACACTTGATAATGCTTTTGCACACGTAAAAAGATAAAAGCACCAGATTGGTTTCAACTCAAGATTATTGCAAGATACACAGTTGTATGCAAACAAAATGACAGAGTGATCCCGACACTGGAGGTGGTTAAGGGTAATTGTAGATGATTCACCAGGGGTGGGTGAGTAGATTTTGAGCCATCGTTTTGAAAGGGATGAACCATGTGTCTTATGACTGTTTTTTTGGTAATGTTGTGGGCCACTGCAGTGACAATTTCCCCCCGCCTCCTCAAACCAACACTCTTTCAAGTTGCAAAGAGTACAGAACGCTGCAGCTAGGCTGCTTATGTCATATAAAAACTATGACCATATTACGCCCGTTTTGATAAATTTACACTGGTTACCAGTAAGATATAGAATTATTTTTAAAATTTTATTACTTACTTTCAAAGCCCTCTATGGCATGGCACCTAGTTACATCATTGATTTAATTCATACCAAGACTAATACGTGCTATTTGCTGCACTCTAATGAAGGTGTTTTATTAAAGCATCCGTCAGGAAAAATGAAAAAGTCATTTGGTGACTGATCCTTCAGTGTGGCTGCGCCCACTTTATGGAACGCTCTTCCTGTTAGCCTCCACAGCATCAAATGTATTTCTACTTTTAAATCTAATCTTAAAACTTATCTTTTTAAATTAGCTTTTAATGTCTCTTAGATGTTAAATATATTTGTATACTTTTAATATTTGTATAGTTTTTAAGGTTATTTATCGTTGTAATGTGCTTTTGATCACCTAGCATGTTAAAAAGCGCACTATAAATGAATAAATTATTAATTATTATTATTAAATAGCCTGTTGGCAGTCTCATATCTTTCCATTTTCTCTCATGAAGACACTGGTACTTAATACTGTTTTAACCTCTGGTCTTCACTATAGAAGCAAAATAAATGAGCTAATGAAAATTTCCACAATTAAGGCACCGTTGAATCTGTAGTTATGGATACCGCTAATATAATACAGACAGCTCTCTTTATTATGGAAAATTCACCTGCAGGTCCCAAAGATACCAAACTTCACCTATTCCCTAACTCTATACTACAGACCCCTCTGTAATGCAGACCGGTTCTGAACCTTTGGTGCCCCATTAAAGAGATTTTAACTTTAATCTCCATACACTGCAGCACTGCCCTTTATAAGACACATTAAAATTCATTAATTGTACATACCACATTGCCAACAAAAGCTTGCACCACACTGCGAACAATGCATCATATCACAGCCAGTTATCCTCTCGACAGCCATACGACACTTTGGACAGTACTGATACCTCCCCTGCTGTTTCATCATACGTATAAAGGATAGATTGCTCATGTTCATTTTATGGTCTCTTACTTTCCTTCTTTTCTCTTGTGCTCTAAGGGATACAGCAGCCGCTTTTCCTCCCTTCTCCTCTATATCTCTAGTTTTCTTTGACTTCAAAGGCTTCCCTGTTTTTTTACAATTCTCCTCATCAGAATCTGAGTCACCTGAAAAACATGGCTGCCCATGATGCCAGGGCTCATAGCATTCTGTACAAAATGCATGAAAGCAATTAGCACAATGGCCAAGTCTTGAGCCTTCATCTTCATCAGCAACAACTGCCATGTTACATCTTGGACAGTAGACTATATCGCCCATTATATCAAGGGTCTTTGTTAACAGTAGTCTTTCCCATCGCTGCAATTTATCAGTATCAAGGATCTCTTGAAGAATCTCTGGTGGGAGCATTGTCTGGCATTCATGGCTGGGGCACTGAAGATTAAGTACAGTTCCACTATCAACATGTGACTCGCAGTGTGCTTTTAAGCAATCAGTGCAGAAAAAGTGCTTGCATTCATCCAGGTAGTGAAATTCCGTTCCATCCCTTTCATCAAAGCAAATTTCACACAAGTGCATGGTCTGTCTAAAAGCTTGCCTCTGCATGTCAAGGTCACATTCAAAGATGGTTAGCAATGCTGTCTCTAATTTCGCATTAAATATTGCACTATTTGTGGCTTCATCTGTTTGTGGCAACTCACTCTCAGGCTCTTTTAGAACTAAGTGTGCACCTAGATGCAAATACTCATAGACATTATTTTGAAGCCAATCAGCCCAAGTGAAGATTACTGGTAAATTTGGATTCTCCGTCCACAACTGCATCAGCTTCTCATGCACTTCTTGCAGTTGACTTTTAGTGAGCCACAGGCAGGCCAGGGAAAAATTGGGCGGGCACTCTGTGGGGTAGAGTGGAGGTAGTGAACAAGTAAGATGTATTGGAGTCAAGTATTGAATGTCTGCATTCACGTGCCAGTGTTGCAAAGACACAGTCCTAGTAAAACCAGGTCTTCTTGGGTGTCCTAAAAAACTGTCAGGGGAGGTGTCAGGAGGTGTATTGGTCTGGTTTTGTTCTACCGGGGAACATCTATTGAAACCCATTTCTTCGCCAACGAGATGGTTTTCATCGAATGAATTATCTCTCAACGGTCCACAATCAGAATCTTTACTGGCTTTAAACTCTTCTGCCAGGCTCTCTCTCGCAGGATCATCATCAAGATGACTGCTTGGAAGTTCTTCCAATACTTCTACTGGGATAAAAGCCTCCAAGGTGATTACATCGTGAGGAATATGGGCCTTGACCTTCAAACTAAAACAAACGTTTGAACGCCCATCACTCCCTTGGAGAATTTGCAAATCATCCTCGAAGATCGACTGAAGAACAGTGATTTCTTCTTTTTGTTCTTCGAGCGAATCTTCGCACAGAACTTCCAAACATTCAGCCATGATCCTTGGAGCTTACTTTGATCTCTTGCTCTACATTGACAAATTAAGTGATTGTTTTCTCTCGTCCATTCGAATTGTTTTTCATAGTTTTAATTTATCATGATTTATCTTGGCCTATCCATATTTCTTGCTGTGGTGCAATCTGCACCTTGCCATTTTTAATTTATGATTTCGTTATCAAAGAATGCTGGGATATCACTCCCCGCTGCGCGCATTTTTCGCGCGCGTTGCCATGGGAAACAGTTTTCTACCTAGAGATTTTTGCTTTTTGTTTGTGTTTGTTTGTTGTTTTGTTTCTGTGATAACAGTAGACAACGGGAGTAGTCCCTCATTTTGTCACGGATACTAGTGGAGGAAGAAAAGAAAAAATCCCCGGCCGTGAGGACTCGCGAACTATTGGTTCAGGTTCTCTTGCCCCAAAAAATAAAAGTAACAAATAAATAATGACAATGATAATGATGGACTGGTTTGTTAGCCAGTGTCACCCTACGATTTTTTAGTTTATAATATACTTTTGAGCCCGGGTTCCCCTGGGGGAGGGGGTTTCTCGCTAGGGATTACGGGGAGACTCACCCCTGAAGGGAAACCTTTTTCAAGCTTTAGGTACATCAGAGAGTAGGGATTTCACGAGTTTAAGTATATGAAAGGTTAGAGGGAAATCTGTCATTTCGGTTGGTAGGAGGATCCAGCGTAGGGCTGAAATTTATTTTAAGGCTGTGAAAAGGTCAAGAAAACGTAAAAAACGTCCTGTTTTAGTGATTACGAAACACTTTTAAAAGACAGTGCATTTATCGCAGTTCAAAAGGATGAAGCTCCCTAACCCAGGTATGTGAAAGGGATACCCGGCATTTCTCAATAGAAGTTATACGAAAGGGGTACCGTTTCCGTCAGAATGGTATATGAAAGGGTAAGTGGATGGACGTCAACGTGACGCCTCCCCCGTAATCACCATTTTCACGTACACCATTGTGCACCTTGTTTCCCCCCAAATTTTACCGTGATAATCAGAGTCTTGGATTTCTCTTTGGACGACTGCAACACCCAGGAGAAATTGGAAACCGATCTTATGCAAAATTGGAAGGGGAGTGGAGCGTGTAAACAAGGTGCATTATAGTCTATGTGAAAGTGGTGAATAACACTTTGTTGAGTGCCCCCCTCCCCCCTTTCCCGGAGTATTCATTACTGAGGTTGACATGGGAGGGAATAAGCGTTCATTGATTCCGTGGGGATAATTAAACAGTGTCGATAAGAGAAATAAATCTTTTTTCTTGGTTTTCAGGCTTTTGGTATTTCATTAATGCAGGGAGAGGACGCTGATCGCCCACGGTCGCAGCATCATAAATTATTCTCTTTAGTCGAAAAAGTAAATGACCGATTTATTCATATTTTTGACCTGACAAGTCGACACTAGTTTTCCATGATCTGTACTCTTATCGGCCGTAAGTCCTAATTTTCAATGAAAGTCAACGTTATCGAAGAAATAACTTACAAATATCAAAATCACAGCTTTATGTGAAAGAGTAAAAAAAATAAGCTTAGAAAAACTGTAAATTGCAATCCGTTTCACATCAATGTTGCCCTTCAGCTCAACAAGCCCCAGGCCCGACTCCATATTCGTCGAAAATAATTTACATATTAGAAGTAAAGAATTGAGACGACATTATTCTAAAATAAGGTGACCGGACATTTTCTTTCAAGAACTACTAGTGATTCAAAAACTATACAATGGTACACTTGAAAAGAGGGTTCTTGTTGAAAACCCACCACTTCCGTGCATATACTACAGTTGTACATAAAGTAAGGAAAAGACCAATCTACCTGGACAGTACTGATTAAAACTGACATGACTGGTCGGGCCAGCCACTTCTGAATGATGGATATGCACTCTCACATGTAAGAAGAACTCATTTCCAATTTGTAGTTTATATTCATCATTACTAATTAATTAATAAATTAACAAATTTATATATTTATTTGCTTTGAATTTCTTTTCAATATCATTATAAATTTTGAGAATATTATTATGTTCCGCCATCTTTGTTACTGTTTCTTTCCACAACAATACACAGCTTCAGATCCTAAGACGAGAACGACTACGAGTACGAGATTTTCTCAATACTGAGTATTGCTCGCGCGTGAACCGACATTTTGGCGGGAAAACGTGATAGCCGTCGTCATTCTACTGCGGGTTTTAGCAAGAATGTCGTATTGCCGGAAACAAGTTATCAAAAGTTTAATCATTTTGCGATAAGGAGAGGGCTCCAATAAAGATAACAGTGCTATTACTTTTCCTGTGAGTCAAAAGTACAATGACGCTAACTTTATGCCTATTTTTTGAGAATACGCGAAAAAACTTCCAGTCATGATCAAATCTCGCACTCGTGGTCGATCTCGTCCTCGAATTATCTAAAGGCCTCTAATGATGCCACAGGAGTCCTTGCATCATTATTCATCAGAATGTTGAGAACATGAACTTGAAGTAGCGAAGTGCATAGTCACTTTCCCCTTAATTACCTTGCCGCACTGGTAACAAAAGGTTGTTTTACAGTGCCAACACTTCAGGTGGTTGTTGTTGTTGACTTTAAGACACTTCTGATGGCAACGGGGACAAAGTCTTATGCGCTCTTTCGTCTTTGGGTTGTCCTTTTCAGCTCGTACAGTTACTGGTAAACTCTCTTCTGTTGCTTTCACTGTTGGTGGTGGCTGTTGAGGCGGTAACCTTACTTCCTGTCTTCCACAATACTGAAAGTGATCATATCCTGAAATTTCTTTACCTAACAAAAAAGTAAAAATGATAATGATAACGGTAATAATAATAATAATGATAATGATAATGATAATGACAATGACAATGATAATGATAATGATAATGACAATGACAATGACAATGATAATGATGATGATGATGATAATGATAATGATAATGACAATGATAATGATAATGATAATGATAATGACAATGACAATGACAATGATAATGATAATGATAATGATAATGATAATGATAATGATAAAATGATAATGATAATGATGATGATGATGATGATGATGATGATGATGATGATGATGATAATAATGATAATAATATGGGTAAAAAAGCTATAATTCAGTTATACCTTTAATCTTAGACTAAAAGACCTACATGTAGTTCGTCCAGACTGAGCCCCTTTACCCCAAGTCTGCATCTACCACACCACTGAAATGATTAGAGTTGTGACCAGTACCGACAATAATATTAGTGTGCCACACAGTTCAGGAAGCTAAACACATATTGCAATCCACACAATGAAGCCATTTTTTGGAGGGGGAGGCATTCTATTGTACAGCAGGTGCTGTCAGAAAATAAATAATTTTAAACAAATTTATGTAGATTGATCATTTCACATTCTGCAAAATAGAGTACAGGTTTCTGTGCTACAGAGCCTCAATATTCCCCAAGGCAAAGCTGAGAGGAACACCAAAAATCTTACACAATGTTTTTATACCTGCCAACTTTTTCTGAGATGTTTCCGAAGATTACCGAAGAAGTCCGAAGTCTTCCGAAGACGTCCGAAGTCTGCCGAAGGCGAAGTTATCGAGAAAACGCTTATCCACAAAATCAGAGATCGTGAGGAAGGTATTGTCATTTATTCATTTTACACATGGTTTTCGTTCCTTACATGGGTCTGAGTTAACATATTTTTGGAAATTGTGTCAAGCAAGACGGCAACAACTCACATTTTTCAATCAGGCGTGAGAAATTGGTCCGCAGGCGTGAGCGGGCGTGAGATCGAAGTTTTCAACCCGCAGGCGTGAGAGTTGGCAGGTATATGTTTTACTATTACTGTTGTTATTGTCATTGTTGTTGTACTATTGATGATTTTATAACTGAAAAATTATTGATTTATATTTTATATTTGTAATGAGATTAATTTATTGAAGATTCAGTGCCACAGCCAGAACTTACAAAGGACACAAAAATGCAATTTGAGCCATAAAATTGCTTGAAAAGATTTTCTCGGAGGTCAGCCACATTAAAAACTATTGAGGATAATTTTAGGGAAAAACAAAGTAAGGTGCTGCTTATCTGCGGGTGATTAATCACAAAGTACAAGTAGACTGAAGTAGTATAACTGTAGTCACTACACATACCACACGTCCAGCAAAAGCTCGCTGTACATTGTGAACAGTGCATCATATCACATCCAGAGATTCTTTCTACAGCCATGCGGCACCTTGGACAAGACTGATAATTTCCCTGTTGCCTCATCAGCCGGATGAATGATAGGTTGCTGAGTTTTTGTTCCCTGTACTCTCTTTCTTGCCTTCCAGAAGATGACGCTGCAGCCACTGCACTCCTGTCTGCATCCTCTCTACTATCATTTTCTTTGGACTTTGAAAAGATGCCTTTCAGTTCATCATTTTTCTTATCATGAACTGTCAAGTCAGTTTCTTTAAAACATGGCTTTCCATGGTGCCATGGTTCAAAGCACTCTGTACAAAATTCAAAAGAACAGTATGCACATAAACCATGGCTTGATGACTCTTCCTCATCAAAGACTACGGCCATGGTATATCTTGGGCAGATGTCCACATCAGTGACACCCAAATCTTCTAAAGTCTTGACACGAAACAGTTTTTCGTACTGCCTAAATGTTTCTTCATCGAGTATCCCACGTAGGATTTCCACTGAGATTGCTGCTTTGCAACCAGGATACAGGCACCTTATGTTTAATAAAGTTCTACAATCAATATGCCACTGAATATGTGCCTTCAAACATTCTGTGCAGAAGAAGTGTTTACACTGATAAAGGTAATGAAATTTTGCCTTGTCCATTTTAACAGAGCAGTTTCGACACATGCGCATTCGCAATGTTGCCTCATCAACTATCCCTTGTATAATTTCTTCTGAGATTAGTGCCTTGCAAGCTTGATTTATGCATTGAATTCTTAAAGTATAAGTACAACAACTGTTAATATGCCTTTCAATATGTTCCCTCAAGCACTTTGTACAAAAGAAGTGACTGCATTTATATAAGTAGTAAAATTTCGCCTTATCCATTTTAACAGAACAGCCTTGACATGGGCGTGTTCGTAGAGCAGCACTTGAGTCTACATGCACCTCACCATAATCTTCACTGCTACATGCAGCTTCATCCTTAGAACCCAAATCAGCTTCTATATGGCACGGCAATCCATGATGCCAAGATTCATAACATTCAGTACAAAATGCATAAAAGCAATTTGCACAGTGGCCAAGTCTCAAGGATTCATCTTCATCAACAATAACTGCTATACTACATCTTGGACAATAAACAACCCCACCCATAACATCCAAAGTCTTGCTGAGGAGCAGCCTTTCCCATCGCTCAAACTTCTCATCATCAAGAACCATTTGAAGAACTTCTGGTGGAATTTTTGTCTCGCAATTATGGCTTGGACATAGTAATTTTAATACATTTCCACTGTCTATGTGCAACTGACAATGTGCTCTCACACAGTCGATGCAGAAGAAGTGCTTGCACTCTTGGAGGTACTGAAATTCTGTACCTCTCTTTTCATCAAAGCAAATTTCACAGAGGTGTGTGTTTTGGCAAAATGCTTGCTTTTGCATCTCAATGTCATGTTCAAAGATAGTCAGCAAAACTGTCTCCAACTTTGAGTTGAATCCTTTGCTTGAAAGTACACCTACTTGCGAATGACGAGGGGTGTTACAATGAGGGACAATTTCATTTTCATCAGACTCTTTCAGAACCAGGTGTTTACCCAACTGCAAATACTCATATGCATCATTTTGCAACCAATCAGCCCAAGTAAAGATTATTGGCAAATTAGGAGTCTCCATCCACAATTGCATCAGCTTGCCCTGCAATACTTGTAGCTGACTTGTGGTGAGCCACAGGCATGCCAAGGAAAAATCAGGTGGGCACTCTGTGGGGTAAAGTGGAGGTAGTGAACAAGTAAGATGTATTGGAGTAAAGTATTGAATGTCTGCATTCACGTGCCAGTTTTGCAAAGACACAGACCTAGTAAAACCAGGTTTTCTTGAACATCCTGAGAGACTGTTAGAAGAAACGCCGTGATCATTTTCATCTATAGAACTTGCTTCCAGATTAATTTCTTGTTCACGAGGATGACTCTTAACGAAATTAGAATCACTGGAGACTTCTTTCTCCTTCAAACCACTTTTTAGAGCTACGACAGGAACAGAAGCTTCCAATTTGATTGTGTCGTAAGGAATGTTGACTTTGATCTTCAAAGCAAAAGAAGTTTTGGAATAGCTATCACCTGTTTGGAGGATCTGGAGATCATCCCCAAAGATTGACTGAAGAACAGTAATTTCCTCTAGCTGTTCTTCGAGAATAGCTTCCCATGTATCTTCCATACATTTTGCCATTTTGCTTCTAATTTGACCCGTCTCCTTCACTAAAATTAGTAAAAATGTGTTTCTGATGTTTCTATGATAACATCTCTACACCTCTGTCTAATAGGAATACGTGTCTAGTCGGAAATTATTGAAGAATTGCCTTCAAGTGGTGCAATCTACTTCCGCCATGTTTGATTCGTTTCCCAAAGGATGTTGGGATGTGGCGCAAGTGTCAACTGGCACTCTGGAATATGGATTCCGGAGTGGAATTTTGGCGGTGAGGGTAAAATGCGGAATGAGTTTGCGGAATAGCATGTGGCATGGCTTGCGGTATGACATAATTATGCGGAATTTAATATATGCAGAATGACTTAAAGAAATAAATTAAACTGAAAATTGCGCCCTTTTTGGCGCCAATCAATTCACGATCAGCTGCTCGTGCTCGACTACGCCCACAATCAAAAAGCTAGGAAAGACTCCTTGATTTCTCACGGTCGATTAGCTTTTTGTCCAGCCACAAAGATTCTAATTGCCTTTATTAGTCGGGGTGCTGGCAGCACCGATACTACATAACGAAAGTCGGCCATTGAAGAAGAAATGTTTTGGAAGGTCACACTCTCTACTGCTTTAATTTTTTTCTGCAAAAAATATTTGCACAATTACCGTATTTATTCGATTAACCGCCCTGGGCGCTTATTAAATTTTTGGACCTTGAGAGTGGGCGCTTATTCGAGGTGGGCGCTTATTCGAGGCTTGGCGGTTATTAAATTTTCACCATTTTCAGCAATTAGTGTAGTATTTTTATTTTGCAAAAAAACAGTAAATACCAGTAACAAAACGTGAAGAAGTAACAAAGCAAGGTTTTCTCGGTACTCGGAAGAACACCCCGTCATCGGGGAAGTCTCTTGTTAGTACTTATTCAATTTCAATTTCAATCTCATTATCGCTCAAGTAGGTGGGGGTGGGGTGGCACTTATTTGAGGCTGGGCGCTTATTAACTTTTTCTGCCTCTAGGATGGGCGCTTATTCGAGGTGGGCGCTAATTCGAGGTTGGGCGCTTATTCGAATAAATACGGTAACGTCACTTTTTTAAAATCTTATTTGCATTTGAAACCATATGAGAAGCGTTTCTTTTTCAGACGGTGGGTCGCGTGATTGTTCCAGACATAATATTCAGAGATCGAACATGTCTTGTATTTTGTTTTTCAATTTTCTTGGCTGCGCGGTGAAGTTTCAGGCACGCGAAGCTAACAGCTGGCCGAGAAGCGCGATCTCGAGTCCTGGACATCGAGTTTGTGTGCTTTTTGTCTACCTTCCTTTTTTTTCTTTTTCTTTTCCTTCCTACTTTTCGCATTTTTTCTCCTTTACCTTTCCTTTATTAAGTTAGTAAAGCCGGTTTGGCATAACACTAACTGTTTAAAAAAGATACATACATAACCATTAAGAAAAATACATATTAATGACTTGGCTAGTTCAAACAAACAAGGGAGGTGAGAAGAGACGCGGAAAAGCCTAAAGGAGACAAATAGAAGTTCGCCGCTTCACTCGATTTGTGGATTACGGATTAGTGCTTGACTCGAGGCACTCATTTAGTCTCGAATATGATCTGATTCGTTCACTGGCGTATTTAAAATCCCTAGAATTGTTGCTAGCCCGACTTCACTTTCAGCGAGCGTTTTTCACCCTCTAGCGTTGCCCTAAAGAGTGACTCTTGATTTGAGTAGCACAGGTTATATACCCCTAAAAACCCAGACAGATTTGTGACACATTTATTTACGTCTGCACTTATTTACCAGACTTATTTCTTTATTTCATTTGGGACAACCGAGTCTTCCATTTCCTAACAGCCTCGATCCCAGGGTCCTCTCTCTTCCTTTCTATTTTACCTCGTCCGCAGTTACGAGGTTTTTCTATGTAATGAGGAGAGAAAAAACTCAATAGAAGACTGTTTAAACTTGACATGTTTTCCTACTTTCATTGCACTTCACTGGAAAAGAGATGTGGGTAAAGAACGGTTTCAGTTTATTTTGGAAACGAGTTATTGATGATTTATCAAGTATTCGTGTATCAGCTGTGTTTCAATTTTAGCCTTGCTTTAGTAGCAATAATAAATGGACCAGCAAATCGATTGCTCACTCAAATTGTCGTCAAAAATAGCGCGGCAGAGACGCGCGCATGCTTTCCTGTTGAATTTCTTTCTTTACCCATAATTATGTCATTCCGCAAACTCATTCCACCTTTTACCCTCACCGAAATTTTAGGACTTAAGTCAAACCAGGATTTAGGAAAACCGTTAACTCTAGAAAGATTTCTGGAATGTTTGAATCTGGTTTGAATGTTTCTGAGTTGCAAGAAAAAAGCTAATCGGGAGTAAGAAAACCAAACCGCAAGAGAACGTTAATTAGTTTTGTGGCTAGTAGCTAACACACTCCTGAAACATTTCAAGTGTTGACGATTTTCTTGGTTTGACTCAATCTTGTACCCAGAGTCTTCAGGCTTTTTAGTCATCAGCAGCGTTGCTCCGCTGACCAAAAAGCCTGAAGACTCTGGGTACGAGATTGGGTTTGTAAGCAGATTTTGAGACAGACGCAGCAAGCTTAGTCTTTGTCATGGCTCTCTCGCATAAAAGAAAAGCCGTACTTTGTTTAAATTTAAAAGCCGATTTACAGGATGAAGAGCAACATACCAAAAGAAGCCGGCGAAAGACGCAGAAGTTGTTGCTTACTAGCCATAAATGTGAAACACATTTCCTAGGGAATTTATTTAAATACACCTAATTTTAACAACTTATTCATAGTAAATGGAAGTAGAAGAGATAAAAAATGTCAGAGTAAAATAGGAATAAATTATAATTATTTAGTCTTAGCTAGTTTTTATTAATATTTTTTGGTATTGAACATTAATTATGAAAGCAATAATTCAATAATTTTCAATAAAATACTGCAAATTATCCAGTTTATAGTATCCTATAGTCGTGAACAGTTTAAGAATAAGTCGGAAGGGGCAGCGACTATTTTTCCAAATTTTCGAGGCAGGTTCACTGCAATATTGTGGGAATATTACTTTTGACTGCTCCTAACGACAGTTTATAATGTCCTTCAGTTTAATTTTCTTGGATATTAAAATTTATCTGAAAGCAACAACAACAACAAAAAAGGCGGCACGGGTTGGAGAGAAACAGCAAAAAGCATTATGAAATCAGTCATATCCCGGATGATTCCTCTGGCTTGATTATTTCTTCGGGCTGGAAGGAACCTTAGCAAAGCACTCACACCAAAGTGCATATGTTAAAAGAAATGAAAACTCTGAGATATGTCCGCCCACTTAATTCCTATTTGGCTTTTTACATATTCAATTTTTGCTTTTAGCATTTTTCTATGAGATGGTTTTAGCAGTTGTTCATTTTATGCTTCTCTAGCTCTTCTGATTTCCATCTACGTTACACCGTTTTCATAGAGACGGCTATATAAGTAAGCTATTTTTTCTTTTCTTTTCTATTTTTTTACTTGAATTATTCATCGACACAAACGCTGAGGAAAATTACTTCTGGTATTTGCTTTCATGGCGATAACATAAACCCTTTGCGTCACAAATCAAAACAGCAAAAAGGCTTTAGTTCAATAATAGGACGAGCAACGTCAAATTTATCCCTTTCAGCGTAAATTAAAATCCGACAAATCAAATTAATAAGGCGATTTTCCCCCAAGCCGACACATTCTTCTGACAGCCTTCTTGAGTGTATTTACTTCAGGATAAAATTCAGGATCAAAAAATTGTAATACAGTTTCTGAATCACGTACGGGGACGATCGCGTTCAGAAGGGAAATATTATGAAAACCTTATTGACACTTCTAGTATTACATTTGTCCACTGAATCCAAATACTAAAGACGAGCTGTATCCTCTTGGTTTCAAATTCATGTATTAGCTGGACTCCACAGGTAAACCTTTAAACCATAACATTTTAGCTTATCGGCTAAACAGTGTTAACATAATCATTATAATATGATATCTTTGCAGAAACACCACATGTCGCTTTAAAAAGAAATGCGAAAACTTCTGAATCTGATTCCGTTTTTTTCTGATATCAGCTGTTTTTTGTTGTTGGTCGGTAATGTTTAGTAGTAGGGAATCTTATGATGAAGTTTATTAATGCTAATTTTTGTCAGTGACCGTGCAACAGCCAGAAGAACAAGCCGTTTTGTATAAATTTAATTAGACTTTATTGCACGTACTGAGTGAACTGGTGCAGTAGGTTTTTTTTTCCTTTAAAAAAAAAACAAACAAACAAAAACAGAAACATGTCAGTTCCGTTTACTCAGCTGAATGCGAAGATTTAAGTCTTCCTCTTTAACAGCAAGGCTTCTAGAGGCTGTATCAAAGACACTAAAGTGCTGATACTTTTTATGCTTTGCAAACATGATGGCCAAGTAAAAAAGCCCTCTGGAGTCGATCAACAAACTTAGACGGAGCTTCAGTAGTTGGATGAGTACAAAAATAAAAATACACATATATATAAACAACGGAAGGTTGCCTACTCCTTACTCATATGGGACTGGTTTTGTGCTGACTGTACTCGCATCGAGCGAAAAGTGGAATTGGAATTTCAGGACTCACTGCATGTTTCCCCATGCGGCGCAGATCAGCGTGCGCGCAAGGCAGCATGGGCTCCCTATTTATTACGAAACAACAGAATTTTCGTTAAAAATGCAAATAAATAATAAATAATAGGGCCATTTATATGAGAAAAAATGAGCCGCGTCTCTAAAGTCAGATGCGAACTTCCTGTATCAAGAACCTTCGCCACGCGACTCATCGCGCAATTTTAAGGAAGGCGTGTAGGGCGCGTCTCGTTTTTCCTAAAAACTGAAAAAACTGAACGACCCTATGGACTCATCACCAGCATTGTACGTAATTAAGAATGAATTTTGAATTCAGGAAAGTAATGTTTGTTAGGTTGTCATTAAATAAATAATTAATGCCTTCGAAGGATTAAATATGAAAAGATGAATAAGCCGACTGAGCCGGTCCAACACAGCTTATTTGCCAATGCCCGTGATAATATTGATTTCGCTATTAACCGCCGATCACCAACTCTAGAAAATCTGGGATCAATATCTAAAGAGTTCTTCTCCTGGCTTTGACGTCTTGACAGCTTGGAAAAAAGCTAACCCAAGCTCTTTTCAGACAGTCCAAATAACTATTGTCAGATCAGAGTCATGTTTTGTATTTGATTAATTAATAGCCAAGTATTAGATAGGAAGACAGGGTTTTCTATCTTTGACTTTTATGTTTGTCGACGATGCTTTACTGGGAGAAACGTTTGCTTTTATTTTGATGATTACCTGTCGACGGTCACTGAGAACACCGACATGTACAGGTCTGAATCAACTCACTATACGGTCGACTCCCGTTGACTCGAACTCGAACCTAAATCGATTTCCCATGGGTTTCCTTCATACATTTACTGTAATTTTACCCTCGGTAACTCGAACCTCCCGCTAACTCGAAGTAATTTCTGTTTCCTTTCAGACCATTTCTATATAAGTTTACCCTCAATAACTTGAACTTTGTTTTAAGAGCCTGACAAGTCCAAAAAAAAAAAAGACATTTCTGCAGTCCAAAACGTTGAATTTATTTCAAAACAAACATATATTCTTTGTCTTTCCTTCTTTGTCAATCCAGTTCAAATTTAGTGTTCAGCCCTGTATTATTAAAGCTTTGTTGTTTGACTTCAATTCCCTCTTCAAAATATCAATCCTCATCTCTTTCTGCCCTACAAGTGAAGTGTGTGTGAGACTGACTTGCATGCCCTCCCCCCCACCCCCATCCATTTCTGCCGTTGCTTATTTCTTTATTTTCGGTTATTATTTCTTCGAACTCCCGATAACTCGAACTATTTTCGATTTCCCTAGAAGGTTCGAATTATCGGGAGTCTACTGTACATTGAAACACTGAAAGGTGAAAACTAAATTTTAAGTACTGAGTTGATTACACATATAGTTACATGAAGCTGATCACCAATGACGGCTGATTCGAAACATTAACTTAAAGATGGACAAAAACATTTACTGAAATCGGAAATCTAAGCCAGCATATAACGGAGGAAAAGAAACCAAAAGCCGGAAAAAAAAAAAACGGCGCCAAATAGAACGATTGAATGAACACGAACTAAAACAAATGGCGATTACCCAGCCTATTCAAAATTTAACGGAATATTTAAGAATTATAAAAGGGTATGTTTAATGACAATGATCAAATAAGAAAAATGGCAGCAAGGGGCTTTGTCGTGGCGGAGTTTCTCATTTTTTTTTTTTTGGCAGAGCTGCGCCAAAATTATAACTAAGTAATTTTCTTATTCATCTTTTGCCTTTAGTTTGAACTGAAACTAAAGGGAAAGCTAGAAAAGCTTAACACTTATTTTAGGGTTTTCTTTGTTATTAACATTATGCGTTTTTTGGGCTTTAAAGTAGACCTCAAGATCTTGACATAATCTTGACATAAGCTCCTTTGTCTAAAGACTGCCAGCGGGTAACTTGAGCATGTGCTTTCGTTTACTATATTGTACACTTGACAAAGTATTAGCTTTTTAAAGAGAAATAGTATAATTTGAAATTGTGTTCCACCAAACGTGTTGTAAATGTCATGATCTTGATCTCTGATGTGAATAGGAAGGATCATGGAGATCTATAGGGGACAGAAAATTTTCAGATGCTGACAGTGGAAAAACTGAAAATACCTTCTCGCTTTTTTTCCGTGCATTTATTCCAAAAGGGAAGTCGAAGTTTTAATTTTCGCTGTAATGCTCCAGTGCGCAGAATAAAAATGTCAGAGAACCTGGAAGAAAAAATCTTTTGGTTAAAAAATCAGCTACGTCGAAGCAAAAGCATACATCAGTTGAGCCTTGTTAAAAAATAAAAAGAAGACGAAATTGCCTCACTCTGTTCAAGCTTCAGTCTGTTTTTCCTTATCGTGCTTCTTTCCTTGAAGAAATATGAATCAGTGGTACTTCAAGTAATTATTCCTGATATGCTCAAAAAGATAAAATTAGTTCAAGGGCGATGCTACAGTCAAATTTTGTAATTAAGTACAAAGTCCGTCTTTCGTTTCATTTAAGATTATTACGAGACCCCGAATGAAACGGATGTTGATCGAAATAATAGTCGCCGGCTTTTTCTTCCACATAAAAGAAATTACGTACAAACAAATGACAGTTTTCCCCAAACTTATGACATGTTTGTGTTAAAAGCATCAGGTTCAGACTGTCATTTGATTTAAACAGGGCCGGTATGAAACATTTGCTGTTAAAAGGAGCTGAAAAATAAAGAAACAAAGAAACACCTTGTCCAATTGAAAATTGGTATACAAGAATCTTATGGTATTAGCGTTGAGTGACTGCACGACGATATTATGATTTAGAATCTCGTATCTTATAAGATTCACCGTTAATAGTTTCTTTTGTTCTTCGAAGAATATTTATGCAACAATAGTTCTTATGATATAACGAGCGTCTTAATTCATTTAAAAAACTCATCACCTGCCACCTAAGTTGTCATTTATTTGCAGAACAGTGAAGACAGTTTATACATTGTACGTTGTACGTTGTGCGTTGTAAGACGATGCTGGCTTGGAACAATTGTCATGGTCCATTTGATTGCTTAATGTCCTTCGTTCACGACAACATCATTTCTATCAGTTTCTAATTCAGCTTCTTTTTCCTCAGGTACGTCATAAAAGAACAGTAAGGGAATACAAAGAAAAATTCAATCAGCAACTGAGCTCTGTCATTCCTCTCCAACTGCCAAACAGTCCAGACAAGCTAAGAAGAAATAATCGTGGCGGTTTTTCCGGGGATGTAGTTACGATTAACAAAGATCGTATGACGACTTCACAAGAAGGGCTTAAAAATGGAATCGAAAGGTAGATGGTTAGTGTAAAATATCCTACAGAAAATAAAAGGCTTACGTTGAAAGTGCAAACGATATCTGTGATTAAGGGAAAGGAAGTTCTCACAGGCAAATCAATTAGACGGCTCCGTCCCACCAGCTCAGTCTCTACATTGTGGCTGGAATACGTTCAAGTGGTGCTGAATATCCGACTGTTCAAGCTTTCTGTTGGAACAATATATCAATTACGATTCCTGGAAGAGCAAAACGAATAGTATAAGTAATATTAATAAAATTGCAAAGGGTGAAACACTAAGAAACAAGTGCAAAAAATGCCTTAATAATCCTACTGAATTAACGTGCACGGTGAGTTTCTAAGCGGGACCGGATTTCACGCGGATTCCGAATTGAAAAATATGTTTGACTAGTTTCATCAAGACCGCTAAAAGATTCCTACATTTATTCATAATCACTTAGCTGCGGGGAAGATAAATCACCAAAAAGATCTTCTGCACGAATAAACTCCAGATAAATATCGACGAGTTAGAAGATATGCCACCTGCACTATTTTTCGAAGGGTACTGGTTTCACACAAACCTAACAAGCATGATATTTTACGTATTCATCTCGCTGTTTACTATCTTTGGAAATGTTCTGGTTTGCGCGGCATTCATCAAAGATCCATATCGCCAGCTGAGAACTTGGCAGAATTATTACATCATTAGCTTGGGAATTTCAGATCTTTTAATGGGTCTCGCCGCCGAAACTGTGCTTATTGCAACTTACTGGGACAAAGGCGAAGAGGTTTTTCGCACGCATTATTACTTCGCCATAATTTCAGGCGTTTCATCGTTATTAAACATGGCAGCGCTTTCTATCCATCGCTACTTTGCAGTGAAGATGCCGCTTAATTTCCAAGAAGTAATGACACGGAAACGAATACTTGCGTCCATAGCGATATTATGGGTTTACGCGATTCACTTTGCGGTTTTACCAATGGCGGGCTTTGTAGACCCTAGCTATCAGGTTTATCTGTATACCTTAGGTTGTTTTTTACCAAGTATTGTTATTGTTATGGCTTACGGAGGGATCTTCAAATCAATTCGCGAGCACACAAAATCGCTAATGAGCGGTCCAGCAATGGGAAACAGAGTCCTAAAGAACGCTATGGCCAGAGAAAGATCCACAACAAAGACAATGCTAATAGTTTTAGTTGTATTCTTCTCTTTCTGGTTCCCATTTTTGCTCGTGGATTTGATTATGGTCCAGTGTGTAAGATGTAGAACTTTTTCCTTCCACGTTGCTCGTGACGTCACTCTTACGTTTACCTACTTCAGCTCGTGTGTGAATCCTCTTCTTTACGCATGGCGTGTATCGCAGTTCCGCAGGGTATTTATTCGGTTACTTGGATTACGGAAAATAATATCAAAACGAAATAATGCGGTTCATCCATTTGATATGACTACTCTTCGCTGGCGAAATGATCATGAGGATATCAACACTTGTTACAGTAGCTAATGCGACCAACTCAAATCAATTAACCCTTGGATACGAAAAAAGAACAAAGGAATTTCTCATGACAGTCCTCTTTTCAATAAGAACAGAAAGCGGCTCAACCAATCACGAGAAAGTGAAATGTACCAATTAACAGTTAAGTGGGGACTCGAACTTATCCCCCACCATACAAAAGATAAAAAAAACAATGCTAAAATGTGGTAAGGACAGTCAGTGAGATACTCGCCTTAGGCTTGTCTGCGATTCAAATAACAACGAATGCATAAAATTATTTTGCTAAGCTTTGGCAAATTTCTCTCGTTTTGACCGAAATAAAGGGCCGACCCAGCCCAGGCTGTCTTCTATTGATTAGTGGTTTTAATTATCTTAAGAAAACAATAGGTTAAGGAATAGCTTAATATATTGGCATAAAAGAAATTCCTCGTCAGTTAGTTTTGATTTCCCACTCGTTCTGATGTTTCCCTCGACTTAGTCTCAGAGAAAATTCAGGATAGGACTGTCGGGGAAACAAAAGTTACTGTTTCGCTTCCGTGCAAGAAAGGCCGGTGCGGTTACACGGGACACTTTTACCGTGTTACCGTTTAGGAAATTGGTGTGGTGCATTTGACCGAACTCTCCCGAGATAAATATACCATGGGAAATATTCATGGATAGTGAAAAAAAAAGAAAGAAAGAAACCGCCCATGACATTTGAAGAGGTATTAAGATATCTGTGGGTGTTTCGATACCGCAATAAAGCCAATCAGGATTCTTCATTAGACACCATTTTGAAACAGCAAAGAAAATTTTTGTTAACGGGTCTTCTTTCGCAGTATCATTTTCGGGAAAGATCGAAGTTGACAAGGCAGACTTCACTCTAAGATGAAAGTTACGGGGAAATTCTGAGGTAAAACTTCAGCTGGTTTGTTGGACTGGATGCATGTATCTGCTTGGAAATCTTTGGGCGGGAACTTTTTAATTTAAAATAGTCCATACGCACCATTATCTGTCATCGTGTAGTCAGCAGCGTCCCTAGCAACACCATGGACACTGCGAGCAGCATTTACCACAACCCTTCTTGTCTTTAACAGCATCTGACTCGTGACTTATAACACAGCAACCATTATTACACTATTATTTAGTTCGAAAGTGGTCCCCGATTCCAGGAAACGAGGCGAGACAATGTCCCGTATTTCGAAAAGGACTCCCAGCTAGATAAAGTAAAGTTTAGACCTGTCACATTTCTTTCAGTGGTTTCCAGGATCTTTGAACATCAAAAACTAGCTTATCTCTTTAAAAATATATTTCATAAGACATTTTTGGGTACAGAAAATATCAGGGTTGTCCTAGAGCACTTCTCTCACTTACTGAAAAATGGAAGGAAGATCTCGACAAACACAATTGGCACAATAACCACTGATTTGAGCAAGGCTTTTGACTGTTTATCACACGATCTTATCTTGGAGAAACAAAAATTTTATGGCCTAAGTGATCATGTGTTGTTATCTCCGTTGAGAAGCTCTCTCTTCTCTCGTTATCAAAGAGTAATTAAACCTTAGTGATGCTTTCTCCGCATTAAAGAAGTGCCAAGAGGGGTCTCACCGGGCTCTATCTTAGGACCTAAATTATTTGATATATTTATGAATCACTTGGAATACGCAATTAAACAATGTGGAATTGTCAACTATGCAGATGCTACAAAGATCCATTTTCAACAAAGAAATGTGTGCAGTTCAAAACAACCTTAACATCGATCTTGAGAATATTGCTACTTCATGGTTTATTCAAAATAGCATGAAACCAAACCCACATAAATATCAGGCTATGGTACTTGGGAAAACGGAAGACAAACTGAACTTTAAATTAGCTGATGAATTGACACTAAAACCACACAAAAGACTTGTCTTCTGGAGGTTGTCCAAGATAACGAGTTAAAATTTGACGATTACATTTCAAGTATTTGTCGCTCTGAACAGATTAAAGAACGGGGAAGCGTAAAATTCAAACTGCCGACCACTTTTTTTTAGAGTTAGAAAGCAATGGGACTATTGTTTTCAAGTACTTATTTGCATGGTGAAAAAAATTGTCCGCATTTTGTGTTGAACACCGACCGATTAAAGAACATTTTGCCACTTAAATTAAGTGCTATATCGTGCATTTATATAGTGTTTTCACATGACGTCAAGGCGGCCATATTGGTGTCCTAAAACAATGAAACGGCGGCCATGTTGGTATCCCAACAACCAGCCGTGCTAGTTGGTGCTGTGGTCAAGGAGTTTTGGAAAATGGGTCCCGTGATTCTTTTTCACGGAATAGACATAACATGTTTCTTATAATTAAGTCTACTTTCAGTGAAAAAGATTAATCCAATTTACAATTTCATACATGCAAAAAATGCTTTGGTTTTATCGTGAATAAATTTACTCAATGAGAATTACATTGCTTCTGTGTAGATTATTCTTTGAAAACCTTTAGCCTTTCTAGAGATCTTATTTTGGTAACGGTACTTTCAAAAGTACGTCGAAACTCTTAAAACTCGGCTTTATATAGAATTAATTAATTATTTTTAGTAAAACTCGTTGTCACCCTAATTTATTATGATAATAATGTCATGGCGATGGATTTTCTTCGAAAAACTCCTTATCATTTAAAAATTAAATGACTGTTGTTTAACGAGTGCAGTGTTACTAAGAACAAAGTTGTATGTTAGAGGTTAGAGATTGGAATAATATTGAGGATATTATATTACCTTTTTGAAATTAAAGCGTTGTTTGCGTTATTAAACAGCGTACCATTTGATTACACATACTTATTGTCCGCTAAAAGAAACGTTCCGGCAATTTAAGGAAAAGAGGCGCTGTTTAATAACGCCAACAACGCTTTAATTTCACAAGTGTAACATTTGATTACCTGTTAATATACTGTCAACTCTCTCTAGGACGGACACCTTTGGGACCGGCACTAAGTGTCCGTCTTATAGAAAGTCAAATAAACGGAGTAAAGAAAGGCAGGAACCAACTCTAAGTGTCCGTTTTACAGAGGTGTCCGTCTTATAGAGGTGTCTGTTAAGAGAGAGTCTACTGTAATGGGTGACGAATTACGTTAGCAATCTCGGATTTTGACATGTTTATCCTGGATCGTATCGATCGAGAACTCCACTCTCTCGAACGTTTAGAGCTTACATTCGGCTTAAGTTCAGAGTTTTTCGACAAAACACCTGTTAGAATCCTTCTTGATGTGCTCTTTCGTGTGCTTAGGTTTTCTAAAGCGTCTTTTCATACCCTGGCATCTTCATTCATGACATTTTGAAACTTCGTCGCCATCTTGACTCTGAAACGTACGGAAGGTTGCCATGGCAATTTTGTAATTTCATACGTGAAGTACAAATTATCCCAAAGTACAAATTATCGTGAGGTACAAATTTGGCGCCAAAATTAAGGATTAATTTGTCACCTATGACATTAACGCAATAAAAATCTTTCTTCTTTTATTAAAATGACCAACTGCATGTTGATGTCCAGTTCAATACACTTAAAATTATCAATTAGACGCAGCGTTTCTGAAAGTTTAACACTTAAGAAAAACGGATTTAGAGCTTTCTTATTTTTTATTTAGTTATTTATGTATTTTTTTTAAAAGTATGATTAATTTTATTCTATTTTATTCCATGGTAATAAGTTTTGAGCCGGATTGACTTAAATTAAAACTAGAATTGACCAAGCCACAGAAAACGCAATAAGCCAAATACTTTTCATCCTCTAAACCCTTCAAAGATATAATCACTACAGTATTAATTAAAATATAAATATGTAAATAAAGGTTTCAAAACGTTTCACAGCAGCAGTCGTTAAATGCTGCCTGACGTCCTTTGATATTAATTACATTTTGTCTTCTTCGGCCCAGTTCAGACCCCGAACTTTTCATGGGCCGAACCTCAGAATAAGTCGAGTTTTAGGTCGACCCACATTTATTTATTTAGATCGGCTGAATTGATTCAGACGCCGACTTTAATTCCAACCAAACTAAATTCAAAAGGAGAAAAATACACTCTGGGTTAAAAATACGTTACAGTAATGTATTCATTATAGGTTCGGCATTGACATGAAATTAAAAGTTCGGCGTCTGGATGAAAGCCGTTCCAAAGTCGCTCCAAAGTCGAAATCTCCCGGCCGGGCAAGGCAGGGAAAACGCCTAAGCCGTTCCAAAATTGAAATAGGCGTCCCTGATTGATTTAGACGACGAACGTTTCATGTACTTAATTTAGATTAGCTGATGAAACCTCCGGCGTCTTTTAAGCAGAACAGAAAGTAATTGCCACAATAGAGGCTTTAATTAATTCTTCCCGCGAGTTTGGCATGATCCTCAAATAATTGAAAGAATTCTCGTTGGTTGCTTACTCGTCAAGTAGCTGCATTGTTCGTGTTTGTCACAAATTGCACTGCAAAGTGCAATCACCATCAAAATGAAATTACAAAGTTTCTGCTGGAAATTACTATTTGATAGCAATTGCCCAAGGACTCCTCTTTCATTCTTTTTAAAACTTCATTTTATATCAGCAAATATCTCTTTCCAATTTAATCAGCTACCCCCTGGTCGCTTGAGGGAAACAAAAGCGCGGAACTTAAATCTCAGTCGCTCTCGAATCCGCTAGATTACCGCGCCTTAGCTGGGTACGAGGCGGAAAGCGCTCGTTGTCGACGATCTTAAGGGGACTCTGGCGGTATTTTGTGGGTGCGAGATTAAAGTTTTGGCGCCAGCTACGCAGGCTAAGGGACTGTGAACAATCTATACCAAACTTGTTTCTTTCCTTTTGTCCCCAGTGTCTAAGGTTTTCTGTTCGTGGCTTTAACTTCTTTCATAATTTCTTGAAGGTTTAGCTCAATAATCCAGTCCTGTAACGTAACCTCCGACTTTTTACTGTAATAGCCTTGTAATTCAGCTCATTTCAGGGATGTTTGCCTCATAAAAAATGGCTTGTTAGCTTGTTCACTAACGAAAGGAAAAATTGCTGCCACGGATAGTTT